ACTACTCATTCTCTGTGGAGGAGATGATTAAAATAAAATCTCCAAAGGACAGGAAGATCCTCAACACTGAATTTGTTTTTAAACTTCATTTTTCTACACTGCTATTAGCATTATCTCAGAATGCTTATTTCCAATTAAAACGCCCACAGTTGCTTTGTAGGGTTAGACTGTATTATTATCATCTATAATTAGTCATTCTGATGCCTTAAGCTGTACTTGCATTTCAGTTCTTATGATATAAATGGAGATTTAAAATCAAAAATTAAAATGTACTTGCCTTGAACAGATTATTTTCCCATTTGTGTCACAGAAATTGAATATATTATTTAATAATTTTTAGTAAAATGTATTTTTAAATGGAAGATTAGAATAAAATAATTTCAGTATAAATAATTTTCTTCCCTAAGCCTACTTTTACAGAAGCTGATAAATTATTTGAAGTTGTGAATATCCAGGTAGCAAGAATAACTATCCCATTTTCTATGTGTACATTATTATTATAGATGGAAAACACCCACAAATCTCATTTTGGTTGTATCGGTAGTGTCAGCTCATCTTTACTAAGTTTGGTGTGGAAGACTGCCTTTATCTCATCATACATTAAGATCACTTTCTTCAGGTTGAAGTGTAACAAAGCCAACCAAAACAGACTAAATTTTAAGTTTGGTTAAGCAAATATGTTGTGTGGTTATTAAACATAAATCCTCATCATTCCAGAATGTTATGATTAATGTCTTAATCTAGTTTAAAAGTGAATAGTTTAAAAAAAAAAAAAAACTTCGAATGAGATAATTCTGATAATGAAATAATTCTGAATTTTGCTTGACTTAAAACATTTGTGGTAAAAACTATTACATCTTTCTGATTTTTTTGATTTGTAGTAATTCACATACACTGTGCCTTTCCAACCCTACAATCATTCTAAAAGTGAACTTGATTTAAGTAAAAAATTCAGTTTGTATACAACATGGAAAAGTAATTTTAATAAAAAAATGATGGCACAAAAATGAGGTACATTCTTTTTCTGGTTGACTTGTCCATTTCTGAGGTTCTTCATCCTGGATGTGTTTGATGGGAGGTTTTTGGAGGACCTGTGATACTTAAACTTTTATTTGGGATTAAAACATAAGAACAAAAAAAACAAAAACAAAAACATAAGAGCAACCACACAGTCATCTTTGCCTGCTACTAGAGAACTAATATTTAAATATGAGACACAGTACTCAATGATATTAATGACTTATTCTCTGGTAAGGAATGCTATTCTCTGTTATACTATGCAGAACATTTATAGTAAATGTGAAATATTGGGACTGGGGATGGTTATGTGCCAGGCCCTCGGTTCTCTCACCAACCCAGAGAGAGACAGAGAAAGAAAGGAGGGAGGGAGACAGGCAGGGACAGAGGAAACAGGAAAAAAAAAAATCAATAAAGAACATATATGCTTTCACTATAATTAGAAGACTTGTCTTTTTTGTCCATTCTATAATATCAATTATATTTTAACAAAATAATGATTTACTCTTCCCGCTTTTCAACTTAGTGCTTCTTGTCAATTATAAGTGCTGCAGCTATGAGTGAAATCTACTTACACAAATACTTAGTAGTTCCAGCTAACTATAGGAAATAATACTACCACCTCAGCACCTACTCAGAGAACACTGAATTTCTCCATCAACTTTGACTTTGGAAGCAGTGTGTGTGTGTGTGTGTTTCATCTTAAAAAAATTAATGCTTCTGTTTAGATGACAGAAAAGATGTATTAGGAGTATTAGGGTCTTCTGAATTCCTGCCTCTGATTACCGTGGGTGTCCTCACTTTATAAAGAGCTTCACCTGCCATTAGCCCAGCTGAATGGAAGCACTGGTAGAGAATGTAGCTAAGTCTCTGGGAAACATAAAGATATATATTTGGTATATATTCAAGCATTTATTAAGTTCTTACTGTGAGCCATGAAACTACACAATGAATTTGTATACATTTTAAACTTTGAT